CTATAGGAGCCCGAATCCTGGCCGAAAGAGAAAGGGAGAAAACCAATTTCGCCCTCGAAGGGCCCCATCGAAAAACATGAACAGGGCTCCAGGCCCCAAATGACGTGTGAGTGTTAGAGTTGTTGGTATTGCTAAAAACCTCTCTCTCCCCCTCGGCCTAGGCAAAATCCTGCAAAGGTGGGGACCTGACTGTCCACTGTCCTGAGACCTGACTCCTTGGAGCACTTGGAGCACTTGGAGTGCAGTCGGCAACCGCACACCCAGGGCCGGGGAGCTGAGAAGCGCACCCAGCGGGCCGGATGATTGGCATCGGGTTGCGGGCAAGAGAGCCCTAGCCCAGGGGGTGCGCGTTCGCAGGGAAAGGGCCTTAAAGTAAACACGGGTCTCCGAGGGTTAGTCCGCGCTCCAGGTTTCCCCTAGCAGCGGAGCGCCCCCTTGGAGCTATTTTCTTTCTTTTTCTACTCGGAGCCAGTGATACGAGAATACGCACATGTTACGAGGATACACCCTGCCCCCACGAAGTACCTGTACTACTCGACGATAATACAAGAATACGCAGCTTGGAAGTTGCAGACGCCTATAAAGAAAAAAACAGCAAGCTAAATTTCGGCGGCTAAAAAGGAAAGGACGGGCGCTTTTGATCGGCAAAGCAAAGTTGGAGTAACGGCGACCGCGTCGCCACAATGCCAGTCGCCTGTCGAGCAGCCTTGGCGGCGCGCATGCGCCGCAGGGTTGACCGACAGCCGCGCGCCTCGAGCCTCTCGCTCCTCTCGCGGCACGACGCGCCCCGCGCGCCGGTCAGCGCAGCAGGAGTATTGCGACATGCTGCACAACGCCAGGGACAGCACTGAGAAGCTGGCGCCAGTCGCCCACCAGCATGTCTCAGCACCGGGTGAGGGAGCATGCTGCGCACGCTGAAGCAGCACGAGGTCACCACCAATCAGGCCCTCACGCCACTGCACGGCCGCCCTCGAGCACCAGCAGCCGCGCTGCGCCATGCTCAAGCTCAGGAGGCCACCCTGCTTCTCGCAGCTTTGTGCAGCGCAGCGAGCGAGCAGCGCCGCACCAGGCGGACCCATGGCATGCTCAGCCAGCCGTGAGGCGGAGGCAGGCCGAGTGAGCGCGAGCCGCGCGGGAGGCCATGCGCCGCGCACCGGCGAGCGAGCGGCACGAAAGAGTGCAAGGTCGCGCATGCTTGTGCGTAACGGACTGTGAGAGACTCCTGTCCTCGTCCCGCGCGCGGCCGCAGTCGTCCCACTCCCAGTTTTTTGTGGTGTATTGTGAGCGCGCTTTTCGATTTACGTTTAAGGCCTTTTCTTTTATGTTTTAAACCTTTTGTGTTTTAATTTAATATTTATATTCTCCCGTTATCGTTTTTTTTTAGGATCTTTAGGATCCGTTATCTTCTCTTTTTACCTAATGTAAAGTCTAAAGACTAAAGAACTTCACGCAAAAATACAATAGAGGACTAGTTGCAAATACGGGTGGTGTCACAATGACCACTTTTGATGTTTTTTTGTCCGTGTTGCTCCCAGCGCCCTCGCCCGCGCTCCCTGAGGCCATGGCTGGTGATACTAGTATGGGGGGCTACCTGGATACCGCGAGAGCGACCCAACTCGTCGACATCGTCCGATGATGGTGCCTCAAAGTCAGCCTCCGGAGGCTATCGTCGCGTCGAGCCGGCGGTGGCCGTGACATGTGGTTCCACCACCCCTCGCAGGCTTTGCCTCTGACCGCCACCGTTCCCAGGCTGCCTAATGGGATGGAAAGGAAGGCTGGGCGAGCGTATAGAAGCGTGCTCAACCTTGTCGTGGCAACCTGCACGGCAGCGCTGGCAGGCGCGATGAGCGTCGTGCCACCTGACCCGAGACGGGTCGCAGGCGTCGTACCGAGCGCGTCGAGACCGTGTCCTGATGCGCTCTGCACGGGTGAGTCACGTCGGCGTCAAAGGAGCGACGTGTGACCTGTCAGAGCTTGATCTCCGATCTCAGCGGCGTCGAGTCGCCTTCGGCGGCGACAGCTAGGATGCATCTCCTCCGTCGTTTTTCGCGCTACGGCCCTGAGAAGCTGGCGCCGCACGCAGGCGGACCTTGTGTATGCGGCGAACGCTTAAAAAGTGGGTGCTCTACGTCACTTTTTTTTGAGTAGATAGTGCCGAGCTGGCCGTGACAGCGATTTTGGTAGTTTTGGGCGGGTTTTGCACCACAGACTTTTTGCAACTAGTCAGAGGGGAAGCGGTCAACGGACAAACAAAAACAGCGCGACGGCATCATTCTGACATTCACGCCCGCGGCACACCTTCACGAACGAAACGAGCGAGTGGCTAGGCGAGTGGGAGGAAGCAAACGTGCGAAGGTGCGTCGGCCGTGGCACGTTCACTTCGGACCAGCCTGTCCGTACTCGTAGTGGTACTCCGGCGGGGGCGGCGCCGCGGCTTGCGCGGTGGAGCCGATGAGGGCAGATATGAAGGGGAGGTGTGTGATCATCGTGTTGCCCTTGAAGGCGCCCGTCACCGCCTGCGCCGCCCCGACCGCCTGCGGAGGCAACACAGGGGGTTGCGGTGGGGGGAGGGCATGTGTCCGAACACACAGGTATTGACGATGAGGGGACGGGCGGGGCGGGCGGGCGGGCGGGCGGGCCGGGGGGGGGGGGGGGGGGGGAAGGCATTTTTCCCAAAACAAAGGAGGGGGGTCCCGGCCGAACTCGCTCGCGGGGACGGGCTCGGGGCCCTCTCGGGGCTGGTGGGAAAAATCCCAACCCCCCCACTTTTTTTGGGGGAGCCCCTCCCCCGGGAGAAGGGCCCGTTCCGGGGCCCCCGCCACGGCGGTCAATAAAGTTTGCCAACCTCCCCGGGGGGGGAGGGGGGGGGGTGCAAAAACCTCTCTGAAAAAAAAAAAAGGGGCAGAAAAGCCCGGGCCCCCCGGTGGAAAACAGGCCCCTCTTCGGCCTCTTTCGGGGACCCGCTCGTGCACCGTTTCCTCCATGAGCGGCTTGTACGTCGCCTTGAGCTCCTCGAACAGCTCCGCCACCTGGCAGACAAGGGGGAGGGGCGACGGCAGGCGCGATTGAGCTGGTGCAGGGCCCTGCAGGACGGCCGGGCCGGCAGAATGGGAGGGGAGGGCGCCCGGGGAAGAGCGCGCCTTTGTGTATTTGGCCTTGACCTGCTCCTCGGTCGCGCCGGTGTGCGCAAACGGCGAAGGCGCAGCGAGCAGCCCCACCACGATGGCCGCAGACATCCGCGCAGCCACGCCTGTTTTCCTGAAAGCGCGGCGGAATTTCCCGTTGGGAGGAATGAAGCGGGTGTGTAGAATGTGGCTGGCACGGAGCGCGCGGCGTCCGGCGGCGGGGCGGCTTTGACAGGAGGCGTGGGGTGGGGCGAGCAGACCAGTCGTGCGGATGGCGGTCTCTCGCTGCGGTGTCAAGCGCCGCGCTGAAAAATAATTTGTAAACCCACAACCCCTGTGCCCAGCCCTCTCCGCGCGGCGATGCGCCCTCCCCCCTCGCTTTTGCAAAATCCTGCAAAGGTGGGGACGTGTCTGTCCACAACCCAGCCCTAGCTTGGGATGTCTGTTTTATTTATTTATTTACAACCCCGGGCCCCGATCGCACAGTGATGACAGTGACATGCAACACGGGGTCCCAGGGAAGGCGAGCAAAAACCGGGCGGTTCACGCCTCGCACAACAGAGAGAGAGATGAGTGAGCATCAATCAATCACCGAGCTGGGTGGCAGGTAGTTAGAGAGAGAGATTTTTAGCAATACCTTAAGAAGAGGTTACAGGCGGGTAAGGTCCGTTAGCGGGAGATCGGCGGGAGCGGCGCACGTTTCGAATTCGGCGGGCGTTTCGAATGTCGACGGACCGTTTCAGGTCGCTGCGCTCCCGTATGAGCGAGGCTGCCTACGCTTCCATGATTCAATACCAAACAACTCTAACACTCACACGTTTGTTTTGGTAGTTAGTATGGCCAAAACGACAAAACAAAAACCACCTGGCAACCCTGTCTGCACGTCTCGCGCGCGCGTGAACAGGGCTCCAGGCCCCAAATTACGTGTGAGTGTTAACCGCAGAAGCCGCGTACACTTCGAGGTGCATCACGCACGGGCTCGACTCGACCGAGGCGAAGACCGCTCTCGCCGACCTCGAGGCGGCCGAGGCTGCGGAGGAGCGCGCCCGTGCGCCTGTCAACTTCCCGAAGAACTACGCGTTCTCCAAGAACGGCACTCACCTCTACGCCCACACCGTTGCGGGGTGGCACGGCACGAAGCCGGAGAACGCGACCATCTCGGGCGACAAGGAGAACTTCTACAACACGATCGCCCAGGCGCTCACGGCCGACAACAAGCCTGACCCCAACGGCTGTGGGCGCGTCAAGCTCCTCGACTGGATCCGCAAGCGACGCCCTGACCTCCTACCCGTCGCTCGCCTCATCATGGGCACGCCCAGCTTCATCCGCCTTGTCAAGGCCGAGGGCGCCTTGCGGCTGCCTTCCGCCGACGGCGACGACCTGGACTTCTCTGCCGCCGATTGGGACCCACTCAGCCTCGAGTGCCCCGACTACAACGACCCCAACTACGCCAAGTCCGCCTGCGGGGTCATCCAGGGACGTGCGCTGTCCACCATCCTCAGCGTCTGCTTCCTCCACGACATCTGCCACGCCGTCCTGGGGGGGCTCTGTTCAGCTCCTTTTGAAGAGATCCTGGCTCTCTCCTCTTGAGACAAGACCCTATTGCTATCACTCCCCGGTAGCGGGGGGGGCTACCAGAGCTTTAAGGTTGGAGATGGTGATGAGCTCAATGAAAGTGTCGAGCGCCTCCTTCTCTGCCGGGCCGCCCTTCTCGGCTGCTAATGCGAGCAGGTTCTTGTGCTTGTTCTCGGGGTTGGTGCACCAGCCGCCATGGGCAAAGTTGGTCGGGTGGTTGTTGCGGTGGTCCTATGTAAGGAAACAGGCTGGTAAGACAGCCACAGGTATGAGTGGGGACATTCATGCAGCCACTCCTCGTCCAAGTGGTCAATGGTCATATGCTGGGCCTCCACGAGGATGCCACTCCTCAGGCATTCGCGGGCGCGTGGCTCTCCGTAGCACATCCACCCAACAAAGCGGCCGAGGTTGAACACCATACTCACCGTATTGTCGCGGCTAGCACTTTCGTGGCCCTCGATCCTCGCGCGGAGAGCGATGCCGCGACCTGCCCCCCCAGATCCTCGCGCATTGACCGAGGCCGCGTGGAGAGGGAGAGACGACGACACGACACGCCCGTTGGGCTGCATCACATATGAAACTTCTGCCTCGATGCCCGGTGAGCCAGCAATGACCCTGCGCAGATACGACTGGCCTCCGAAGGAAGACTCGTGGAGGAATGCCATACCCAACGTCTGCAGCAGCTCACCATCGACCGGGATGCCAAGAACCTGCTCCGGGAAAGAGGAGGCGGCAGTAGCAGGGGAGGGAGAGGCAGCAACAGCACAGAGAGAGGCAATGTTAGTGAGGGCAGAGGCAACAGGGAGGGAGGGTAGAGGCAGCAGCAAGAGAGAGGAAGCAGCAGCAGGGCAGAGAGCAACACACCTCGGGATGGAGGGGCATCACCTGGAGCACCCTCATTGGTAGCCCGTCAGCCGGGAGGGTGTCCATCCTCAGCGGCGCCTTTTCCGAGTAGGCAACCACCGGGTTGCTGCTGTGCAAGAGGCACACCTACATGACAGACCAGATAAATCAATTAATAGTAGCTGAAGCCTAGATACGCGAGTATTATCAGGCAGTGTGCAACCTTCTGCTCCCGCTTCATGGGTGGCCATTTGCCGCGGGCGCCGCCAGGTGTTTCCGAAGCCAGCCAGTTCAGGATTCTGTCATTCCCCCTGGAGCTCTCGCCACACTCCTCAAGGTAGTGGTGTGGCGTCCCATTGTCGCGGCGATGGTTCACTCCAAGCCGGTAGCATGCGCCTCATCGGTTTTGCGGACGACATCTGCCAGAACGACGAGCCCTTGCGCGCCGTCGCCGCCTACTCCGGACCAAAGGGCCTCCTCGAGGCGCAGAAGAAGGGAGCGAGCGTCTTCGACGGCGTCGGCAAGTCGCTCATCTACTCGCCCGAGGGCGACCTCTCGTGCGCGCCGGGCTGGCTCCGGGGCTCGCCGGCGCACCGCGACAAGGAGGGCAAACCCACGGGGCGAGTGGACTGCTTCAAGGCCGTCGGCACCTTCTTTGGCGACCCGGAAGCCTGCAAGAAGGAGCTCACCGCGCACCTCAGGAAGAAGCTCGCGCCGCTCGACGTCATCGACACGATCGTCGACACTGACTGCGTCACGAACACCTCGCAGCTCCGCCTCAACCTCGTCCAACGGATTGCCTGCGCAAAGACCAAGTACATTGCCGGCATCACGCCGCCCAATGTCGCGTGCGACGCTCTCGAGTTTGCGCACAACCGCATCCGCAAGTCCTTTGAGAGCATTGCTCGCGCCGACGCCTCGCCCCAGGCGCTCCGCGACCTCGCGTGGCTCCAGGCACAGCTGCCGACCGAGATGGGCGGGTGCAACATCGATACCGCCTTCTCGCGAGCCGACAGCGACTTCTCCATGTCGCTCCTCAAGAACTGGCGCACCCTCGTCGCCCACAACCCCGACTTCGCCCTCGACGAGGCAGGTGCGTCCAAGTACCCCGCCATCGCCGCAGCTATCGCCACCTACGAGTCCGCCCTCTCGGACTGGAAGGAGGTGTGCGAGAAGCGCGCCGCCCGCGACAAAACCAAGTACCACACCGTCCGCGGCGGCTACCTGACTGAGTTCTACCCCAAGAGCGTCCCGCTCCCCGAGCCCGAGTCCCTTCCAGCTACCGACGCGATTCTCAATGGCACTTGCAAATCCACGTACCCGCGGCCGCGGGCGCTCGCTGCCATCAAGAATCACAAGGACTGGTTCGCGCACCAGGAGCTCGTCAAGGCGCGGGATGTGCACGTCAAGAACAACCCGTCCCTCGGAGACAGCGCCGTCAACAACCGCGAAGCCGCGCGCTTCGTCTCTGCCTCAACGCCTTTCGCCGGCAAGGCCTTCGATGTCCGTGTCGACGGTACGTACGCCACCGCCCTCTCCTCCGACACCCTCCAGGACGAGCTCCAGCGGAAGCTCGGCCTTTGGCTCTCCGTGGCGCTTCCCACCCTTCGGGTCGCGCTCGAGCGGGGCATGTCAGTCGATTTCTTCGGCGACTACCTTTACAACAAGGCCCACCACCGGCGGCCCCACGACGGCGTCCTCGCCGCCTGGGCGGACGCGATGCGCGCCCCGGCCAACGCGCCGGTCGTGCACGGCGACAAGGAGAAACCAGAGCTCACCCGGCAGTACAACGAGGGGTACAAGGTCGACCTCGCGGAACCCCACGCTGGCCCGGGAGGATGCGATGAGGTGAATGAAGTCAAGCTCTGGACGCCCCTCCTCAAGACCTCCTCGGCGGGCGTTGGCAACGCCTCGAGCGGCGGCACGCCCGCCTCCGTTGGCCACTCCTACGCCTTCGGCAACACCGAAGAGAAGGCCCGCCGCCTAAACATGGGCTGCAAGGCGCGCGGGCAACCCGGCCAACCCTTCGACCACAAGAACGGCCACGGCTACGTCAAGGCGCATCGCGGTTTCTACCACGACGCGATCTTTGTCAAGCGCAACAACTTCAACCTGCTGCTCCACGAGACGTTCGGCGGCGGCTTCTCGCCCACCGCCGTTCTCAAGCTGCGCCGCCTCGCGCGCAAAGTCGCGCGCGGCAGCGTCGACCGCACGGCCTACTCGCCCAAGTACTCGCTCTCTTTTATGTCCCACCATGCAGAGCGCATCTCTCTCTCTGTTGTGCGAGGCGTGAACCGCGCCATTCGCTCTCACCTGGCAACCCTGTCTGCACGTCTCGCGCGCGCGTGAACAGGGCTCCAGGCCCCAAATGACGTGTGAGTGTTAGAGTTGTTTGGTATTGCTAAAAATCTCTCTCTCTGAGTTGTTTGGTATTGAGGTATTGCTAAAAATCTCTCTCTCTCCAAAACGCCGCCAGCAGGGTAGATTTAAGGTTTGTTGTTGGCAAATCAGCCAGGGTAGAGAAAGTTGAGGAAGCTCTGAGATGACCGAAGGTGAGAGGGCCGCCGACTCAGTCGAAAATTCCGACGCCAAGAAAAGAAGAAAAATCCGCGGGCGCACTGATAGACAGCGACATCCTCGCCACTGATAGACAGCCGACATCCTCCAGCCCAGCGATGCTCTGTCTCGTCGCCTCGGCTCTCGCATTCAGGCCGGTGCACGTTTGTCAGCTCACGCCTAGCACGAGCTCGGCGGTGATGCGAACGCCGCGCGAGCGGAAGCTCGGAGGCGGCATTGCGCAGGGTCTCGGGCTGGGCAAAGAGAAGAACAAGTGGGTTACGCCGGTGACTGCGCTTGCGCTGGCCGGTGTGTTTACAGGCAGTGTGGTGCTGCGCGCAGCGAGCAGGCAGCGCCGTGTCGAGACCGGTCGATACACCGTAGGCGGTCTCACCGAAGGATTCGTCGACGACCTCTTTGCTCCGATTCGCGCCAAGGGCGGCTGGGGCGGCGTGGTGGGAATAAAGACGCCGGGCGCCGAGGAGGCCAGGGCCATCAAGGAGGCGAACAAGTCGCCTACAAGGAGGGCGATGGAGGAGAAGATCAAGGCACGCGAGGCGGCGCGCCTGCAGGCCTTTCCTCCGTGAGGAGGCTCGTGAAACCGCGCCGAAACCGCGGGGGGGGGGCGCCGTGTAGATCATCTGCCGCTGTCGTCTGAACGCACACTAAAGGGTGTGGACCGTGAGTTGAGGAAATCGGGGGACGCGACCCACCTCGCCACAGACGGTCCCGCGCCTCCCGCCACTATGACGGCGGCACGGCCGCAGCTCGTGTGCGTGCCGCCGTCTTTGTCCGAAGTGAATACTCCAACGCGCTCGTCGGTGACGGTGTCCCCCAACCTGCGCCACGCTCGGCGAACCTTGACAGCGCCTTCGGTGGCATGCATCTCTTTGCGCCTGAAGCCTGGAGAGCAGCTCCTCGTCTGCTGCTCACACACTCTGCACAGATGGCACAGCCCACTGTGCGGCTGCCACAGCTGTGACAGCGATGGGCTCGCCCTCACTGGCCCTCAGTCACTTGTGCTGCGGCTTGGATGGCCGCAATACGCCGAATTCTCATGAAAACAAGTAAAAAAGGCTCAAAAAATCCAAAAATCGGCGCCTGCGGCGGGAAAGGGAACCCCCATCTCCCCCACGCATGGGTACCCCCTAGGGCCCTCGCCTCCCCCCAGAGCGAGCGTCTCGGGCTCTCGCCCTCTCGGCACTCGCACTCGCTTTCGCTGGAAACCCCTGGCGACGGCTGCCAGCCCGGGATTCGGAGGCGATTCGCCTTATCCTCATCGTTTCTTAACATTACTTGCAGCGGAGTTTTCAATCAGCGTTTTTAAAGCTGTCGAGGGTACCGCACGCTGAGTTTCTTCATCGGGCGGGTCTCTAAATTCTTCACGGGCGCCGCTCGCCGGTTGGCGTAGTCAGCCTCTTTGAGAATTGCTTTGAGCGTGTTCGCTGCCGAGGTGGTGGCCTTCGACGAGCGCCATGGCGGCGCTGCGGCCCTCGATGCAGGCCATCTCGACGGAGCCGCCCACGCCGCTGCACCTCGCGTACACCGAGAAGCTCAACGCGTACATGGAGCAGGCGGTGCCGCAAGAGTCCAAGGACCGTCAGCAGAAGCGGATCGCAATCCTGTCGGACCTGACTTCGACCTTCAAGCAGTGGGTCCACTCGGTCTGCCTCGCCAAGGGCCTGGCGCAGCCGGTCGCCGAGGCGGCGGGCGGCGCTCTCTTCACGTCCGGCTCGTACCGGCTCGGCCTCAACGAGGTGGGGATGGACATTGACGCCGTCTGCGTCGCGCCGCGCATGGTGACGCGCGACGATTTCTTCGAGACGCTCAAGGTGATTCTCGAGGACCACGAGTCGATCCACAACCTCGTCGCGATTGCCGGCGCGCCCCTCGCCCCTCGCCCTGCGCCCGACCCTCCTCGGCACACCCTCTCGCCAGTGCGGCAGGCGCGGCGGTGCCCATCATCACGTTCGACTACGGCGACATCAACATCGACCTGATGTTTGCGCAGCTGCCCGTCGATTCGGTGCCTCCTGCCGCCGCCACCAGCGGCACACGCTGCGAGGGTGTCGCTGCTCACAGACCTGAGCCTGGTCGCAGGTGCCTCCTACCATCGACATCAACGCGGACTCGGTGCTGCAGGGCCTCGACACGGGCACGCAGCGCTCGCTCAACGGGCCGCGCGTCACCAACCTGATCGAGCGGCTCGTGCCGCAGTTCGACGCCTTCCGGCAGCTGCTGCGCTGCATCCGGCTGTGGGCTAAGCGGCGCGGAGCCTCCTCGCCAACAGGGACGAGGAAAGAGGGCTGTTGTGAGCCCACATAAGAGAGGTGGGGGTAGGCGCGGCATCTACTCGAACAAGATGAGCTACTTGGGCGGGATCAACTGCAACCTGCTCTGCGCCTTCCTCTGCCAGCTCTACCCGAAGGCGTGTGCCTCCCTGCTGCTCGAGCGCTTCTTCTTCATCCTCAAGGACTGGAACTGGCCCACGCCAATCATGCTCACGCCGCCGACCGACGCGGGGTACACCGACGCCGACGGGCGTATGTACGAGGTCTGGGACTCGCAGGGGCGCGGCCGGTGACCGCCGCCCCTCATAGCCGCCCCTCCCGCCCAGCCCCTCCCGCCCAGCCCCTCCCGCCCAGCCGGTTCCCCGGCCGCTTGGCATGGGCCCTGACCCCGGCCCCCGGCCCTGCCCCCGAGCCCTCCCCCCCCCGCCCCCGAGCCAGGTACGACCAGATGCCGATCCTGACGCCAGCCTACCCGTCGATGAACTCGTCGCTCTCCGTATCGCAAGTCTCGCTCGAGGCGAGGGACGAGGAGATCAGAGTCATAGTGAGTAGAATACACTCGAGGGGAGGCAGCCATAGTGAGGATGATGCCGACGACGAGGATAGCAGCACCTCTCTCTTCTCCCCCGAGGTGATGCGGTCCGAGATGGCGATCGCCCACCAGAGGGTCGTCTCGATCCTCGCAGCCGGAGCCAGCGACTGGGCGCCGCTCTACGAGCCGACCGACTTTTGGGTCGCGCACTCAAAGTACCTCGCCGTCGAGGTGTACGTGCAGGGCGCGCCCGCCGGCCTGCAGCAGGACTTGGTTCGCTCGTGGGTCGGGTACACCGAGTCGCAGGTCAAGAAGCTGGTCGACTTCCTCTCGTACCTCCCTCTCGCCGCCCTCCGCCTCATGCCGCGCAAGCTGCCCCTCCTCTCCGTGGGGGCCGCCGCCGCCCCGCCGGCCGACGCGGCCTCCGCCCCTCCGCCTTGCGACGGCGGCAGCTACCTCATCGGCTTCGACGTCGACAAGACGCGGATGCAGGGCGGCGAACTCCACATGACAAACAAGGCACGCCCCCCCTCCCGGACCCCGCCTCCCGGACCCCGCCTCCCGGACCCCGCCTCCCGGACCCCGCCTCCCGAACCCCGCCTCCCGGACCCCGCGCCCGCCCGCTCGCCCGCCTCTCTCAGCCGCCGGTGCCGCTCCGCCAGGTCGAGGCCTTCCGGGCCGAGTTGTACGACCGCGCCGCCAACCAGGCCATCGTCACGGCGACCACGGCACCCTTCCTCAAGGCAAAGCGCACAGAGTAGCCGCTCCGCGACGCTCGCAGCGCCACTCTCCCGGGGGGGCCGCGCAGGGCCACACACCACACACCACCCCGCGCCACGTCCGGCCGTGGCTCCTCGATCGCAGCAACGCGGTCCGGCCGTGGCTCCTCGATCGCAGCAACGCGCCCCTCCCTCGCAGCGGGTCGGCTGCCTCCCTTGTCGCAGGTGCGCTTCTCCGTGTACGGCTCCTGGAAGGAGCTGCCCGAGGCCGTGCTCGACGCCGGCCTGGGCGGGATCGCAAACGCAAAGGCGGCGCGCAAGCGCGTGCTCGAGGCGAGGCGGCGCGAGGCGGCGGCGGCCGAGGCGGAGGCGGCCGCCGCCGCCGCCGCCGCACCGCGTGACGACTTTGACGCCGGAGTGGGCGACGCGGCGGCGGGCGACGTGGCGGCGGGCGCGGCCAAGCGGCCGCTCGAGGCTGGGGCCGATGAGGCGCCGCCCAGCAAGGCGCAGGCCTTGGCCGCGCCTCCGGAGGACCCGCGCATGAAGAGCGCCGTGCAGGACGACCCGCGGCTGGCGGCATGGGGAGGCGGCGCGTGAGAAACGAGAGCGAAAAGCGCGAGTCCTTCCGGCCGCAGACCGGTTTGCGTCGCGACCCACGAGTTGGGAAGCTTTTATTGAGTTTTTCCGCACTGAAAGATAGATAGATACTAAATTGCACACATATGCCCACACCGGGGGGCGCTCTGTCAGTCGCTCGGCAGTGTCACTCGCTGTCAGTTTGTCACATCACACATGAATTGCACTTGCGACACTTAGATTATACAATATCAATAAACAAATATGCGCCTCGCGTGCGGGCGGACGCCGGACACCCTCACAGCCGTCGTGGCTCGTGCAGCTCGCACATGGGTGACATGCTCAAACGTGGTACATGCATGCTTCACTTCGAAATGTCGTTGGGAACAGGAGGTACGCTCGCCTCCTCGCCCGGCGCCGGGTACTTCAGCACCCACTGCCGGAACGCCTCCGCCTCCGGCCCTGGCTTTGTGCGCTGCCAGGTGCCGTCTCGCTGCCGGCGGCCGCCGCCTGCCGCCCACGCCTGCACTGCGGTTGCCCTGCGGCGGCGGCGCTCCTCGTACGTGGCGACGGCCGCCGGCACGTCCTCGGCCCGGAGCCGCCGTCCGCCGCCCGTGCGGTCGGCTGCGTCGCAGAGCGCCTCTGCGAGGGCCGCGGCGTCCTCGAAGGCCTGGTTGGCGCCTTGGCCGGGGGTGGGGTGGAGAGCGTGCGCCGCGTCGCCGAGCAGCGTCACGCGCCCGGCTGCGGAGGACCAGGCCGGCAGCGGCTGCGTGTCGAAGATGCGCCTCTCGAAGATCCCCTCCTCCGCCGTCGCGCGAATCACCCGCAGAATGTCTCTCGCGCCGACGCCTACTCGCGCGGCGGCTCGCTCCAGTAGCACGGGGCGGTGGCTCGCGGAGCTGCCCTCGGCGGCGGCACCGGCAGCGGTCTCCGCCTCGTCGAAGAGAGAGAGGAGCCTCGCCTTGATGCCCGGCCGCCCGAGCCCTGCGCCGCGCTGCGCGTGCCCCCACGCCGCGTCCGCCTGCCGGATCTGCCAGAACAGCTCCCCCTCGCCGCAGTCGACGAGGTAGCAGGAGAGCTTTGGCGAGGCGAGGTTGAGGATGCGCGACTCGCCTGCTCGCGGTGCTCGGGGCCTCTCGTCTCGAGTGGGCCGAGAGAGGAGCGGGGGGGGGGGGCGCTCGCCTCGGGGCACCACCCGAGGGCCGGGGGTGGCGGCATATCTCGGCTATATCTCACCTCGGGGCACCACCGGTGGGCCGGGGATGGCGGCGTGGCGCAGGATCGCGTTCCAGTTGGTCGTGCTGTAGTCGTTGATCCGCTCGAGGTCGACGCCGCCGCCGGGGCTGCCCTGCAGCGCCGCCCGCACGCGAGAGAAGAGGCCGTCCGCCCCGACGAGCAGCGACGCGCGGACGGCGACGCGGGGCGCCGCGCCGGCCGCTCCTCCCGCCACTCGCACCTCCACAGCCTCCGCGTCCTCCGCAAAGCCAGCCACCTCGTGAGAGCACATCAGCCAGGGCGGGGATCGCCACCGGCGCAGCGCGCTGCTCAGGGCACTGAGCACGCCCCTCCCGTCCAAGGTCCACGACTCCAGAAGCCACGGCCCTCGCACGGCTCCGCCCACAGCCTCGCCCTCCTCCGCCGCAGCCATCAGCTCCTGTTGAACCTTGGCCCACGGTATAAAAAAGGCGCTGACGCCGTGTGGCCCAACCTCGATGCGCCGCGTGCTCTCGCTGCCGTGGAGGCCGTAGTTCAGAATCTCGGTTGCTTCGACGGCCACTCCCCGCTTGGAGACCGCGGCTGGCAGCCGAGCCCCGCCAGCCGCCTCCAATGCCGCCAGCCCGTTGGGCCAGAGCGCAATCGTGCCCTGACTGGTGTAGCGCGCCGCGGCAGCGCGCTCCAGAACGACGACCCGAAACCCTCGCCGGCGGAGCGCAGCGCTAAGCGCCAACCCGCCCAAGCCCGCGCCGGCGATTGCCACGTCCGCCTCGATCACACCATCGACGCGTGGCACGTGCCACCGCGTCACACCGAGAATTCGCGCGAGGTGAGAGCGCAGCGCGTCGCGGCCGCGCACTTGGGAGCCGGGGGGGATGACCGGAGGGGGCGGGACGCCTGCATGTCCTCGAAGCTCCCAACCGCATACGCAAGCCGAGCCGCGAACGGCGGCGAGAGAGTTTGGCAGGGTCAGCGAGGACCGCGCATGGCGAAGGAACCTTTTTTAGGACCCAGCGCAAACACCGTCTCCCATCGTGGGTCGGTTCCGCAGTACGGGACCCCTCGATCGTCTCGCCCTCCCTCACTGGTGTGTTCATTGGGGGGGGTCATAACAAACACGGTACAGGATCGAGGTGCACGCTGCTGAAGCAGTGTCGTCCCCCCTCTCCCCGACGGCGATGGATGGCGGTGTGACCGATCGAGCTACAAGAGGAGCTTGTTCAGCAGGATCCGGGTTGGTCTGGCGCACTACCTCACTAGGCCTGAGACCGCACGACGCTTCCCGTCACCGTCTCGGGTTTGTGTGGGATCGAACCACTCCGGGTGCGTCGCCGCAAAGTGTGTGAACTGGTGTGATACGTGCAGCGCGAGGCATGTCTGCGCTACTCGAGTACTTTCTCTTTCACATTCAGGGCTCGCCCCTTCCCGGATCGGAGCGGCTCGCTGTCTTTTCCCATCTTGATTTGCGCTCCTTTGCCGTCTCTCAGCTCTCCCCCCTTCTCAAATTCGTCGTATGACCAGCGTACAGCGGCATGGGACGTATTTTCTTCTCAATAACAAGGCTTTGAGTGCGTTGGTCTGCACGTAATTCGTAATCTATGCATCTTCGTAATCTATGCATCTGTTCGACTTGCAACAAGGGATGGACTCCTGCGCGCCGGCATGCTTCTCCCCGTGGCCTCAGGCTTTTCCGGCCAAGGACCTCTGCTCCAACTACCAGGGGCAGAGGTTCTTGGCCGGAAGGAAAAAAAGAGAAACCACGAATTTCGGAACGCGCCGTCCGACCTGTCCTCCTTCTCGAAAGAACCGAAAGGCGGCGTCGGACAGCCCACCGCCACGCTCAGGCACATCAGACGAGTGGGAAGTAGCCCTCCTATTTGCGTCGTCCCAGGAGAAGAACGCGCGGCCCTCGCCGCGGTCCACTCGTCGTGCGGCGATGCACACCCTCCTGCTCCTCCCTCCGGCTCACCCTCGCATCAAGCACGTCGTCGTGCTCTACGAGGAGAACCGTGCCTTTGACCACTTCTTTGGCCACCAGCGGAGGCTCAAGGTGGACGGGCTCAAGGGCGACGAGAGCAACCCCGTCAACCCGGCCGACCCGGCTGCCGGAGCCGTCGGCGTGTCCGGCGGCGCTCCTTACGTGGCGAGGGAGCAGCCGAGGCACGGCTACGCGGCCTACCAGACCAAGCTCGATATCGTCGGCGGTGTGCCTCGCATGGACGGCTTTGTCGAGTACGAGCGGTCCGTGCACCCTTTCGCGCATCGCACGGCCGACGCGGTGATGCAGGGCTTCTCGGATGGAGCGCTGCCCGTGAGCACCGCGCTTGCAGCCGAGTTTGCCGTCTTCGACCGCTGGTTTGCGGCGTTCCCCGGCCCGTCTTGGCCGAACCACATGTTTTCGATCTCTGGCACGGCCGGCGGCGGGACAAACACCGGGGATGGCCACCTCTGTCGTCCGGGTGCGAGGTACCCGCAGCGCACCATCTTCGACTCTCTGCTGGCGGCGGGGCACGAGTACGCCCGCATCTACAACGACTCTGTCGTCGAGCTCTACCTCGAGGCGCTTCACTCCCCGGAGGCAAAGGCGCGCACGCAGAGCATGGACCGCTTCTTCCACGACGCAGCTGCGGGCACCCTGCCCGCCCTCACGTGGATCGCGCCGCGGCAGGCACACCTCGGCTGCACCTCGGCTGCACCTCGGCTGCACCTCGGCTGCACCTTGGCCGCACCTCGGCTGCACCCCTCCCTCCCGTGGACCTCGCCGGGGCAGGGAGTCAACAAGTCGCTCGGCGCGCTCGGCGGGCCAAACAGCGACCACCCCGACTGCTGCGACGTGGCGCTCGGCGAGCGGCTGCGGAAGGACCTGTACGAGGCCGTGCGGGCCGGGCCGGGCTGGAACGAGACGGCGCTCCTCTTCACGTGGGACGACCCAGGGGGCTTCTACGACCACGTGCCGCCGCCGATGGCCGCTCCGCCGCCCGACGACCAGCCCGCCTGCTTCTGCTTCGAGGGCGGAGGCGCCTCTTGCCACGGCCGCGACCCGCGAGGCCTCGACCCGTACGCGCGGCTCGGCTCGCGGCTGCCTGTCATCCTCATCTCGCCGTGGCTCGCAAAGGGCACCGTCGTCTCGGAGCCTTCGGTCCGGCCGTTCGCCGACTCGCAGTACGACGGCACGTCCATCGTCGCGACGATCAAGCGACTCTTCGAGCTGCCCAACTTCCTGACGAAGCGCGACGCGTGGGCGGCGCCCTTTGACCACCTCTTCGACCGCCTCCCCGCCCCGCGCACCGACACGCCACGCCACCTGCCCGACGCGCCTCCGCCGACGAGGCGCCGCGGCCCTCGGCCGTACGGAACAGACTGCGACGAGCCGTCGAGGCGGATGCGCCGCGCGATCTCCGCCTTCGAGGAGGCGCTCGGCGTGCGCGCGCCCGAGCGGCTGCATGCGTGCGCCGAGGCCGCCCCGCTGTGGGCCACCTCGTGTGAGGGCGGCACGATGCTCGAGGCGTCCGAGTGGCTCGCCAATGCGACGCGCGAGTGGCGCGCGGGGCCGGGTCGGGCGAGGGATGTAACACAGCAGCAATGATGTTTTGACCGCGCAAGACATAAGGGTGGCGCTCAGGCTCTGCCCACAAGGCGCCCGCGTCGGAGACGCAGAGTATTGCAAATAAAAAACCATAGACCTGACAAATAAAACGGTCAAAGCTTAAACTCTGAGACGAGATGGGATTTAGGGACATGTCACATGATTTTTTGAGTGTCTCCGCCCTGCACGATCTTGCTCCTTCTTGGTGTTGAGGCTTGAGGGTCTCAGGGATCTTCAACGTCCGTTCCAAATCTCCCTCTCGCACGCTCCCCTGGCACAAACACAGTCAAGACACTGCTGGGCACGGGACTGGCACTAACTTTGCCAACAACAAACCTAAACAGAACACAGGACCAGAGAGGTCTCTAGGGTACCCCTAGGCTTAAAAGGGTGCCCTGGGGCGCCTGCGGCTTAAACGGCTTAAAACTTGCCATGGCAAGTTTTAAGAGCTGCTGGGCCGCCAATTCCTTAAACGGTCTTAAACGCTTAAACGGTGCGGGAGAGCTCCCGAGGTCGATGGTCCGGGAGGCTCCCGGTAGACACGCCGGAGGCCGGGAAGCTGGCTACAGTCAGCTGGCACGCGTCCCCTATGCGAGTATGGCTCCCGCCAGTGCACCAGACTTACAGATGTGTCTTCAGAGGCGGATTTGTGCCTAATAACGGCAGTATTGGAGAAAACGGCGCGGAACCCAGCGACGCGTGCCGGCGAGGCCGATTTTCTTAAACAGAGGGACCGGACCCCCCGTGCCTGCAATCTCTTAAATGGCAAGTTAAGCCCCCAAACCTCCTCGTTTCTTAAAAGGTCTTAAAAAAATCCGGCCCTCAGAACCCTAGGGGTCCCCTAAGCCAGAGGTAGGGATTCGCCCCCGTAACGTCTAACCGCCCGCCGCGCGAACTGACTCCTCATCACCTCACTACCAACATACATAGGTAGGAAGGTGAAGAACAGTCAGGCTCGGACTGGACACCATACCATCCAACAGGACCACGTGTGAGTGAGTGAGTGAGTATTCTTGATACGACACACACCAGTCGACTCGCATCGGTTGCCTCCATGAACGGCGGAGCTATTCTCGCGTCCACACCACACCTGGCTCCAACGTGGACACGCCCATAGCTTTCTCCACTAGCACTACTGGTCACGCGCATGGCATCAGACTGTGGATCAGAAGTTTTATCTCTGGGCCCCGAAAGGCATCTCTAGCAGCGTCGATACGCATGCCCCCTCCCCTCCTGGGCGCAAGCGCCTCACGTCTCGCCAGAGCGTAAGCTCTTGGTGTGTGACGAGACGAGTTTTTCGCCATCGCAGAGCGAGCCAACCCCTGCCTAGACGAGTACAGCTAAAGAGTACCCGGGGCTCCTCCGTGTGGGGGCCCGTGAACATCTTTAGCTTGTGAGCCAGGAAAAGGGTTGAGAGCGAGCAGCATCCAGCCTGCAGCATCCAGCAAGCCACACCCGCCGCAAAAGGCATCGCCGCGGCACCGGCTGCGCCGCGATCCCGCACCCGTCGACGAAGCTCCCCCTGCGGAAGACCGCGCGTAGCGACACACAAACACACACACGCCCTCGGCTGCCTTGAAAAGAATGTAAGAAAAGAATTCACGCGCCTCTCTCAACGAAGCACGACTAAGCGCGGACTGGCGCCGACTGGCACAAGAGAAGTCAATTTGATGTTGCACTGCTATCGCGGCGCCTTCGGGCCGTGGGCTGCCTTCTCTCGTCGTCGGGCGATGCCCATGTCGCGCACTGTTCTCCTCTCTCTTCTCGCAGTCCCCGCCTCTGCGCTACGCGACTCAGACGGGTCTGCACGTCCCTACCGCCTGCAGCGAGCGTCTCCCGTCACAAAAGCGCTACTAGCGGCCAACGTGGCTTCCTTCGCAGTCGTGCAGCGTCGGCAACGTCTCTTTCTCGCTCTGGCAAAGTCCAACGCGGCGCTCGCGCGTGGGCAGTACTATCGGCTGGCCAGCTCTTGCCTGCTCCACGCCAACGCAGCGCACCTGTTTGTCAACTCGGCGTCGCTCCACAACATTGGTCCTGTTGTCGAGGCCCACTTTGGATCGACACGCTTCGCTGCCCTCTACGCCGCCTCAGGTGTCTGCGGCAACGTGCTCTCCTGGTCGCTCGGCCGCGCACCGCTCTCTGTCGGCGCCAGCGGCGCCATCTTCGGCCTGCTTGGAGGCTGGGCCGTCTTTCTCGCCTCCAACCAGCGAGTGCTCGAGGCGCGAGGCGCGCGAAACATCGGCGAGTCGCTCAGCTCGCTCGCCACCACCTGCGCGCTCAACGCCGCCCTCGGCCTCTCGCCCGGCTCGCGACTCGACAACTTTGGTCATGCGGGAGGAGCGCTCGGAGGGATGGCTTTTGGAGCGCTGTGTGGGCCACGCCTGCGCGAGGCGTGGGTGCCGCTGCGGGCTGGTGGCCCTGGGCTGGCACTCGTGGACCAGCCGCTTCTCCGTCTCCCGGGCCGGCAGCCGAGCGGGCGCCGTCGCGGCACATCGGTGGGACGGCAGCGGCGGCGCGCATGAACGACACGATCGGTTGGGGGGTTGGGTAAGTTGTCGGGGTGTGGTTCACCCATTTTCAAAGACACGAGATCATGCACGAATTTTTTCACGCGCGATAACCGATGTAGTGGGCACAGGCAACTGGACTTCGACTACAACCAGCTCAAGAACCTGGTACCTGCCGATAACCGATGTAGTCTAGTCTCTAGAGACGGCAGGCCGTGCACGGTTGTCTTGTCAGAACTTGTCTCGGGAAAATACCGCGTGGCCCCCCGGTACTTTGGGGGCGCCTTACTCAACTTTGACCGATCTAACGAACGCCTTCGCTAGAAGTAGAACCTAGATCGTTACGTATCGTTCTCGGTTGCTGCGACACCTCCATGCCTCCACCAGGGTCTCGCCAAGCTCCAGCACGTCACCGCCCACGGGTCCTCCTTGCGTGGCGGGAAAGGCAGTCCGTGGGACGGTGGTCACCACGGGAAGCTCCACCAAAGGAGCCACAAGGCCGTTGTTCGGCGAGGCGGAAAAGACACAGCCGGCGCTGGCGCTGAAGACCCGAATCCGCACGGCGGGAGAAAAACACGCGGCAGCCTCCCTCCCTATACCTACCCCCGTGGCGCGTGGCGGCGCCTCAAACAAACCCCGCCCGACCTACCTATCCAACCCCCCTGGCGAGCCGCACCCCACAGAAAAAGACGTTGGACTACCTCATTTTTTCGCCGCCTGAGTCCCTGCGAGCGAGTTCTTTACCAGGTTGCAACGCTAGTTTCGCACTGTGCTGTGAACAGGGGTCGTAAAGAGATGTAGGACCTTCCTTAGGTCCGCCTCTCACACCCTCACTGTCTGTGCGATGTAGCTTCTTGTTTCTTATCAACCTATCTGTGAACGCTGCTGGTTGGCGGCGTCGGTTGCGCACCCCGGCCGGGGGCACCGTCCCCATCCAGGCTGCTGGTCGGCGCGAATTCCTGCTTTCGTGAAACAAACCAGCGCCGACGCAGTTGCTACCGACGTGATGACGGAGGAACTCTCCGAGTACGAACTGGCCCGCCTCGAGACCATCCGCAAAAACCAGCTCGCGTTCGAGAGCATGGGCCTCGGCGATGCAGTCGCCGGCCTGCGTGCCGCCGCCTCCAGGCCCAAGCTGCCCAAGGCGCGAAGCAAGCCGAGGCCGGCCGCCGACCCATCCGCACGCCGCAGCTCTCGCCGCCTTTCTGGCGAGGCCGCTGCCAACGGGGGACTCGTCGACTCGGATGGCGAGACAGACCATCCCGCGTACCGCGATCCGAACGACGTCTCGGCCATGACGGCGCCAGAGCTCAAGGCCTGGTGCGACGCGCTTCGTGCGGATGTGCTCCGCATGGCGTGGGTGGAGCGGTTGGGCGAGGAGGAGATGCGGCGGCTGGACGGCGCACAGGAGTGGCTCGCGCCATTTGTGATCTTCACTGCGCGCTTCGGCGGCAAGGGCGAGTCGTCCCTCTCGCGCCAGAACCTCAAGTCCGTGCTGAAGCAGGTCTTCTGCCTCGTCTCCGGCGCTGGCGTGACGACGGAGAAGCGAGGCGGCGCCTTCGGCAAGGGGCGGCCGATCGGACTCGGCATCCAGGCGGAGCAGGTGGACGCGCTGCGGGCCGAGGCGCAAGTGTGGATGCCTCAAAAGCGCGCGCCGGAGGTGACATGCGGACCCTCTCGCCGCCCCCTCGCCGCCCCCTTGCCACCCCCTCGCCGCCCCCTCGCCACCCACCGAGCGGGCCTCCTCGCCTCGCCCAGGACCTGGTCGGTCGGACCGTCGGCGGAGAGAGGATCGTCAAGCAGCCAGATCGCGGCCCCTTCGACACGTCCAACGGCTGGCTGCTCAACCATCCGCTCATGAAGATCCGGCTCTACTGCGAGCACCTGGACGAGCTCAAGGAGATGGGGCACGAAGCGACGATGCGGCGGCTGACGGGAGACGGCGCGTGGCAAGCGGCGGGCGGTGACGGCGCGGCGAGGGGGGGCGAGAGCGGTGGCGGTGGCGGTGGCGGTGGCGGCGAGGAGAACGAGGAGGAGGACGAGGAGGACGCGCCGCTCGCCAAGCGGCGAAAGCCGGCTGCGGCGGCGGCGGCACGCGCCGGGACCTTCTCCGAGGGTCAGCGCGTCGAGATGCTGTGCGGCGGGAGGTGGGAGCCGGCGAGCATCGCGGACGTGAATGAGGACGGCACGTACGATGTCGCGCTGGCGGCGGGAGCAGCAGACGCGGGGAAGATGTTTAGCGAGGTTGAGGCGGCGCAGATCCGGCTGCGGGCATGAATTGGCGCGCTTGGTGTGAGTCCGTGGTCTCCTGCATCACCGCGCACTCGCCGGTGCGGGCGACTTGGAGCAGCTGTGCGTAAACGGAAACACAAGTTTTGCGTTTGGTTATGAGCACGCGGTCGATTTCTTTTTCTTCTGGAGCCGGCCCCTGATGTGCTCACTTCCAGTACCCTTCCGCCATTGGTCGCGTGATCGAGGCCCGTCTGCCAGCCAGTCTGCCCGCCACAGAACGAACGATGCCGTGGCGAGCCTTCGATGGAAACCTCACCGTGAACGAGGACGCGGAAAGCATGACGACCTCGCTGAAGCGGACACTGTACAAGGGGTTCGACGCAGCGCTCGGCGAGGAACTCACCGCCGGAAGGCACGAGTGGGTGGTCAAGGCTCCAAACTGGAGCCCGAACAATTACGTCGGCGTCGCTGCGGATGCGTGCGACAAGCGAACTTATCCTAGCGACACCTCTGCCTGGGCCTTGCACCTCTGCGACGGCACCCTGTGCTCGGGCGTCGCGCACAACGTCACCCGCGGGATGGGCTACACGCGGATGGACGGCTCTCGGGGGTTCCTGAGCACCGGCTCGGCTGCGATGGCGGCTGCGCGCAGCAACGGGGCCAAAAACCCGCTGTGGGACGGCGACCGCGTCAAGAGAGGCACGCCAGTGCGTGTCATTCTCGACATGGAGGCACGCACGCTGTCCTTTGCGATTGGCGATGCCGAGCCACAGCTCGCCTACACCGACCTGCCGGCGAGCGTGTGCCCGTACGTGGCATCCGGCGACATCGGTGAGAGATCTCTTATGGAGACATGGGCACCGCAGTAGAGAGAGCGCGCGCCTCGTACAGAGTAAAAGGCGGTGGCGCATCTGTGGCTGTGTCAGCCCAAGCCCCTCAACACTCTCAGGTTCATGATAGTCAGCACGCGGCGGGCGCTGCGCAGGGTCACGCACTGCGGTACGTTGAGCGTTGAGACTAACTCTATACTGTCTCAGTCTACGAGGGCGCTAAGTTTGTGTGGCACGCCCCGCGCACCGTCCCGAGCTGTGCCGCGTTTTTTGTCCGGAGTGAAAAGTCCAACGCGCTCGTCGGTGACGGCTTCCTCCAACCTGTGCGCCGCGCTCGGCGAACCTCGACAGCGCCTTCGGTGGCATGCAGCTCTTTGCACCTGAAGCCTGGAGTGAAGCTCCTCTGCTGCTCACACACTCTGCACAGCGGATGGCACAGCCCACTGTGCGGCTGCCACAGCTGTCACAGCGATGGGCTCGCCCTCACTGGCCCTCAGTCACTTGTGCTGCGGCTTGTGTGAGCGACACTGCGCGGCGACTGCCGGCACACTGTGTCTTTGAGACCATGGGTGTGAGGTAAAACCACGCTACCAGCGCTTGGTCACATCAGCCCTGAGGTCATATCCTTCTCCTCTGTTGATGGTAACACTTGTCTACTCGCTGGAGCCGAGCAGGAGGGCTTGGCGCACAACCCCTGTTCAACTCAGGGTCCTTCCCCTTTAGACGCGCTAGAGCCGGACCCGGAGGACACACATTCCATGTCATCGTCACTTTCCTTCTTGTGGCCTGCCTTTTCGCGCGCCGTGGGGAAAATATACCTTCTCGCAAAAGGAATCGACGCGATGTGCAAAGCATACAAGAAGGGGAGAAGGAAGAGGAGAGACGCCGGTGGTGACGAAGCAGAAACTAGCGCAGACGAGAGCAGGGCAGACCCGGGGAGTGGGGAGCCGGAGCAGACGGCATCGGCCGCCGAGGGAACGTTGGGAAGAGGCACGAGGAGGGCGGCGACCTCGACCGCGCGACTATGGAGGACCCGTCGCCAGACGACGCAGGGCAGCAGACGGTGAGGCGGAGCAGACGCGCAGGGCGAGACGAGGGAGGGAGCAGGACTTTGCGGAGATCAGCAGGAGGATGTACGAAGAGATTAGGAGCAGCAGGGACCCGAGGGACCATGTGGAAGACGGCTAGTGGTAGTGCTAGTCCCCCATCGGGAGGACGACCCCGGCTAGTCGCCGACCACACCCACAAAGAACCCTGCACAAAGATCACAAGGGCGGGGACCTGTTCTTTTTTAACCCATCTCACAGTAGAGGTGTCCGTTTTATCCTATTTATACCTTCTCGCAGCTGCGAGACGAGCTTTCTCGGAGCGACAGTCTCAAAGCAAAAAGGGGGGAGGGGAAGGGGACGATCGCTGGCGAGCGCCAGCGCGTCCCAAGAACGGTGGGGTGCCCAACCGCCGCGGCGCGCCGGGCCGGGCGCTCGGGCGCTCGTTTACGGTTCG